CGCGGGGCCGGGCGCGGGCGGGATCGCGCTTGCTCTGTCGCGCAGGGTCCCGGCCGCGGGGTGGAGGGGAGGCCAGGTACACACACGTTTTATTTTTTTGTCTTTTTGAGACAAGGTCGCTCTGTGCAGTTCAGGCTGGCCTTGAGCTCACTTTGTAGCCCAGGCTGGTCTCGAACTCTCAACCATCCTCCTGCCTCAGCATCCCGAATGCTGGGATTACAGGCCAGGTACATATTCTTACCAACTTTTTAAACCAGCAAAGTAAGGCCGAGGCGAGGCGCGAGGTAACCTGTGACCTGTTCAGTCAGACGACTAGTGTGTGAACAAAGGAGTCGGAGTAGTTGTTTTCTCTATTTCTTGCAGGGCTGGGGACCCAGGGCCTAAGTGTTCCGGCAAGCACAGTCCCCCGTACCATGGAGCTACAGCCCCAGGCTCTCAAAGCACAGTGATACCGGGACTTTCATATATATTCTGGGAATTGAACCCAGGACCTTTGCAGTGATCTGTCATCAGCCCTTTTTTTCATTTTTTAAATTTTGAGATAGGGTCTCCATAAATTGCCAAATTGCAGACAAGGACTTCGATTTTGTGATCTTCCTGCCTCAGCCTCCTAGAGAGCTGGGATTAAGCTCACTCTTTAACCCCCAATATACACATGCTAGTGTCTTTTTTATGTTAAACAAGGTTGGCCTTTTGGAGCTCAGTTTGCTAGAAGTCCCTCCACACCTGCCCTTTCCTGGTGGGTGGAAAAAGTGACTGATTTGTGAGAACGCAGAGCCACGATGGGTGTAGTTGCCGCACCCCTTCCACCTCTGCTATTCATTCCTTTCCCAGCTCGAACGACCACCCACCCGATCACCGCGGCCGTGATCCTCAGATCCTCCCAGCCCTGCCCTCGCCCTCGCAGCGGATTCTTTTTTTTTTTTCCCCATCCAATTCTTATTCAGTCTGCGATGAGGGCTGAGCATCTGCATCTCTATGCATCCTCTGGGCAGTTAGTTTTGCAGCAAAAGGAGGGAAGGTTTGAATATTTATTTATCCTACGAGCATTATTGGAGCCCTGCTGTGAGCCAGGCTCCTGCGGGCCGCGAGAATCCGGAGAGAGCAACCAAGTCTGCCCTTGGTTAATGCCTTTGGCCCTCACCTCGAGGCTAGGTTTTCTCCAGCTCTGTCTGCGTTTCTCAGAGTTGTAGGAGGAGGACGATAGAAAGACCTCCGAGCTCCCCGCTAATACAGTAGGGTCTCCAGGCTCCAGCCCACGTGCGGTTGGGAGCTGATATATTGCTAAGGAAGTGCGCGGTCACTCCGCTGCACAGACGCGCTCTGCTCCGTGCAGCTGACGCCCCGTGGTGGGTGTGCACATAAAATGCAAGCGTGCTTGCGCGCGCTTTTTCTGTTAATTTAGGATAAATTTTTAGGAGATTATTAGATCAAAGAGCAGACCCATTTAAAGTTTTGAGACAAAGTGTCACTGTAGCTCAGACTGGCCCCGAACTCACTATGTAGCTCAGGTTGATCTTAAACTCTCGATCCTCCTGCATCAGCCTCCTGAGTGCTGACATTTAAGCTTTTTGATTTGTAGCCAACAAATAACCCCCAAAACTTGTACCCCGCCATGAGTGTGTAGGAATTCTCACTTCCGCAGGGGTGATGTGAATGACTGTAATCCGAGCACTTGGGAGGCTGAGGCAAGAGCGTGGTGCGCGTGAGGCCAGCCTGTGCTACATAGCGAGTTCACGGTCAGCCTCTGTAAACGGACGCACGGCGATCACACGGCCTATTTTGTTTGCTGTTGGGAAGACACAGTTTTGCGCTGTGCCCGGGACTCGCGCTCCTCTTGCCTCCGCCGTGCAAGCGGTGAGGTGTGGAGAAGGTGAGGCCGCCCCACGCCGGCGCCGTGTGTGCACGGGTCGGGGAGGCCGTGCAGCGCGCAGATGGTGACCTGAGCCGTCTCTCCCACGCAGGCTTCCTCCTTCCCTCGGACTCCTGCCTGCAGCGGCTGCTCGCCTTCAACCTCTCCGCCGCCATCCCGGGCCGGGAGCGGCCCACCGCGGCCGAGCTGGGCTTGGACCTGGGACCCAGCTCCTACCACGAGCTGGGCCCGGCGCTGGAGCTGGCGGTGTTCCTGCTTCCGGAGCCCGGGCGGCGGGCGGGGCCCACGCGC